TGTTTGTATATATATATATATATATGCACAAAGAGGGTACGCTATAATCACGGCTTGAAGTTCAAATTCTAGAGCCGACTAGCAACAGCATATACACGACTAAACACTGTCTATCCACTACTGTGTGCTTTTTTTTCTCGAGATCCGAATCCTGTGGCCAAAATCCTGAGGACTCCCCCTCCGAATTTGTGATTGTCCTTGTGGTGCTCGTTTAAAACCACCAAACATTCTAGGGGTAACTTCCCCATTCTTTCCAGGGATCCTTCTTTCTAGAAAACCACCAAACACCCTCGGGAAACAGATCCGGTTTTTGAACAGAACGATGGCTGAAAAGAATGGAAAAGGAATCAACCCCTAGAAACATGGGCTGGGTACCGAGGCGTTCAGAAAAAAACACAAAATAAGCCACGATCCTTTGCAGGGAGCGATGGATCCAAGATGTGCCAGCAAACCCTGTCCAAATGAATATGTTCCTCCATCTGCGTTTTGTGCGTTGTGTGTGCCTTGGAGTAAAACTAAAAAACAAAGTCCAAGATTCCTTTTAAAACCCACACGGGAAAATAAACTACTCTGCCTGAGTAAATGGAAGTCTTGGTCTTTGCTTTCCAACGTATTACCAAATGTACTCTAACACACCACACAAGGGTTCATGCCGCGGTCCGTATGCATAGCACATGATCGATGCTTCGCACTGCGCAATAAGGGGATGGGCTTTACCCAATCTGTACTGATTGCCCACATATATCCTCTTGCCTAACATGGAAGCTGCAGGTTGCTGAACGATCCGTTTTTTTCCCTTTTTGAAGGCAACCCCCTAAAAGCTGGTCGTTCCCCGAAACAAGGGATGCAACAATAAGGTCTGTGTTCTTTTGGCTCAAACTCTCTAAACAAGGAACCCATCTCAATGTGGCTCAAAATTAAACAGGAGGGGTTACTACAGGTTTGCCATTTACCAGGGCTCCATTTTGGTACCATTCTTTTCAGCCACAGCCATCTTGAGAAACACCCAAATGCCCTTTCCGCAGCCTCTCGTCCGTTGAAGCCGTCGTGACGAAGGTATCGCCTTAAAGCACGTGTGGACATGATGGTGCCTGTTAACGTGATACAAGGGAATGTAACGGGGTACATGAATAATGTTAGCCCCGGATTAATAAACCCCTGGTTGATTAATAGGGGGGTGTCTCCTTGTAGTGGGGATTCATCACTTTTGGAGGGAACACTCCCCTAATAATGGGACGGGATTATTAGTCCTGGATCAACATTACTTGTCTAACACCCCCAAACCGCATTCAACTTGTGTAGGCTCTCAGATTAGGCACGCATCGTTCATCAGTGTTCCTTGCGGGATCGCTCCGCTTGGCAACTACGACATCAACTGAAAAAGGCTGGCTATACTTTGCCGAACGAGCCGTAGAAGGGGGTTGAGTAGCAACATAAGACTTACCCGCACAAAAATGGTCAACGAAAGACCCGGAGACCTACCTGCACAAAGTAGAGAAGACCTTTTGGGGTCTAAATCTGGTCAGCCCCCTAGCAACACATAGGACCCTACTTGCGATCCAACAAAAATGGGCAATTGACGGTCCTGGTGAAACGGTGTACCCTGGAGCATTTTCCTGGCTTGCTCGGACTTAGACCCCAAAAGGTTTTCTCTTTTCTGGTAAGGAACAACGAAGGTTCATAGCTTGCAGCAAGGCGCTTCAATCTCAAGATCGTGCATTTGTTCATGGCCGTGTAGATGCCTTGAGAGTCAGCGGTCGTAGTGTTTGCAACGCAGCGTGAAACGGGCTCTCTGTAGCTCCCATTCCTGCTGCCAATGACGGCGCTCATGTCAGCCAAGGTGCTGCCGTCGTTTTGTTGTGCAGCCGACTTCATGAAGATCTTGCAGCCAGTGATGTAGCTTTGAAAGCTCTGCTGGATGACAAGATTTACCTCCATTTTTTGAGTCTGGAAAAAAAGACGCCCTTGAAAACCAGGGGAAATTAAAACATATTCCTTTGCTCCGTGCGAGGGATCGAAGGACCTGTCTGTCGACCTTCGAAAGCCAAAATCACAGCAACTTCTATTGGTTGATTCCTTTTCCATTCTTTTCAGCCATCGTTCTTTTCAAAAACCTTCCATTTCCCTAGGGTTTTGGGTTGTCTTCTAGAAAGAAGGATTCCTGGAAAGAATGGGGAAGTTAATTACCCCTAGACAACTGGCACGGTTCTCCTTTTGGTTCTCCCTTCACCAAAAAAATGGAGGGTACCCTCAAAAAAGACAGACCCATACTTACGGTTGTGGATTTGCTTCGATTCAAGTCGTAAATTACAGATTCTTCAAATCCGCGAAATATATGGCACCAAGCGATCCGCTGGGAAAGGATGGCAGCTTGCCTCCATGCTTCATTCCCTGGGATTCGATTCCCAAGTCTCATCTTTTCCGTCAACTTGGATTCAACTTGGATTCAACTTGGTCAATACACACCTTCTTGCCTTCACTTTCTTGGTTTTCTGTGTTTTTTTTGGGGGGGGTCAGGGTTGGTCGTGCTTGGCTTCTTTGTTGGTTTCTGTTCTCGGTTTCGGCCCCCGAATCCTTGCGCGCCCCGCGCGGCGTTCTTCCGCTGGAAGCGGCGGGAGAATTCGCACAGGGACCCAGCCTGACCCATCGAAGCGATTTCCCGGGAGTCGTTTGGTTGGGAGCAACGAACCGACTTCGCCCGTTCGGGGTATCATTTATGCTCACATGGTGATTTATTATTTGAGGCTATCCCCAGTAAATGAGTGGCCACGTGAGCCGTTTGAGCCACGTGCGTCTTTTGGTTTCTTCTTTTTGCCTTGGGGCTCGTCCCGATCCCGATTTCCATATCTCGAATCCCAAGTGGACCATCGGAACTTTGCTTGACCGAACCTCGCATGCCACAGGGCTCCGTTTTCCCCCTACATGACCCTTTTCAAAAGGAAGCTCACTTTGAAGCGGCCCAAGGCGATGGTCAAAGCCACGAAGTGGGTGCGTCTTTTTGTTTGTTGTTTTTACTTTTTGGTGTGGGTTCAAAGGGACACCAACAGGACAACCACCAATTTTAGGGAAAATCCTTAACAAAACACACCCCATGATTCTAGGGCTACCTTCCCCATTCTTAACCCAGGCATCCATGTTTCTAAAAAAACACCCAAACCCTGGGGAAACAGATCCGGTTTTCAAAAGAACGATGGTGGAAAAGAATGGAAAAGGAATCAACCCCTAGAATCATGGTGGTGGGAAACAATCCCTTTCTGTGATACAAAAGTGGGCCAATCATGTGTTTGCATTGTCATTTGGCTGTGGAAATCAAAAATAGGGTAACCCCAAAATGGGTTGCCCGATCGGTAAGTGGCAACATGGACCAAAACCTATGGTCCCCTGGTGGTTTAATTTTGACCCACACCCATTTTACAAGGGGTTGTGATGGAATTACAGCAACTGGCCCTAAACAAAGTTGTCCACAAGCAAGCAAGCAGTTGTCCATTCTCCAACTCACTCCTCAAATTAGCAACTTGGATAACCCCCAGAAACAATCAATATAGTGACCCTAGAACCATGTGTCCATTTGGACTAATATAGATGGCCTTGGTAAATGGAATAAAGCCAATCTAAACCAGCGCCATCTATGTCTAACCAAACTATAATATAACCTGAAAAGGACACCTATGTCAGACCAAAGCTTAGCCTCGATCTCTGAGGTTAAAACCGGCCAATAGTCATGTAACAAACCACGTCACTGTGTTGGTTTAACACCTATGCCTATAACACAAACACCCTCTTTCCAACAGAAGCTGAAGGGCTGCAGAAGCGCAGCTGGCATGGCTCAAGGAATCCGCGGTCAGTGATTCCCCTTGTCAATTTATCCGCAACATCTGCAAAAAAAATGCACACATGGGCGACCCAACAAATCAATTGGTTTTTGGTTACTGCCATGCTTAGTAATACGACTTATATCGGGACTACTAGAATTTTGATTAAACCAGGTAGTAGAACCAACTACTAAGTGGCCAACGCGAGGTTTGGCTGCTGCTCACAATTAAGGCACCGGAGAAAATCTTCATCGATTCCTGACAAGGACTGCTTGCCTTTGCGAAAGCTCCTTGCAGTTTGCATGCGTCTCATTTCCATGTAAACTCCCAGTTGCTTTTTCCCCCCTGGAAAAACTGAGGACATATTTCAAAGAGTGAAGTTGATTCCCATTATAACACCAACCATATTTCATTTCAGACGTTCGCGGGGAAACCGGAACTCTGTGACAGGAAAAAATCAGCAGTGAGTTCCCTCCCCAGGGCTCCGTGGCAGGCTACCTGGCCCCTTGCCGCCCGCATGGAAAGTGAGGGTTGAGAAGCCACTCACCGGGCTCCAGCCTCCGATTTAATCAAGGAGCGCAGCTTGCTTCTTCCGAGCACGACATGACACAAAAACATAGATGAGCTGAATATATGTCCTAGAAGACGGGCAACACCATATATGTTTCACGGCTTCCAACAAAGCAAAGTCCGACTTTTGTGACGGTGCGTTTCTCGCTGCAGAACATGCACCTTCCCCACCAACTTCCCCTCCCATTTCCCGACCACCTTCCCCCAATCCCCCCCAATTCCCGCCAACAACAATGGGTCTCACACCAAATCCATCGGATCGCAGATGGTTTCATCATGATTAGAGTTAGGCCCAGTAATAGAATGTAATGTGGACCCAGGATTAATAAACCCGTCCCAGTATTAGGGGGGGTGTTTCCTCCAAAAGTGATGAAGTCCCCACTAAAAGGGGACACCCCCCTAATTATTAATCAACCGGGGTTTATGAATCCGGGGTAAAACTAAATATTTTAGTGTTCGCTTCACTTTGAGCTGGGGAAAAAACAAATTTGTACAATGTATCCTAAGTCCACCCCAGTCACCTTCGCCATTCACCGAAATCCCCGGAATCCGATTCCGGAACCGGGAAGCGCGCCCCGTAGATGCCGGGATCCGTGGTGCAGAAGTTGTGGTCCACGATCAGACGGCCTCGGCGGTCCGCCGAAGGCTTCCAACATGTCGCCAGTTGCGTGAAGGTGTCCCCTGGGAAAAAGTGAGAAACTCATCCAAGTCGCGGATTGCCTTTAAAACCCACAGGGGATAAGGAAAACATATTCATGATCAGCAACTAACAGTGATAGATCCCCTTTAAAAAAAAAAAAAAAAAAAAAACTGGGGATAATAAAGACATATTGACTCTCAGCAAATGAAAGTGTCGGACATGTGACCAGCGCTTCATTGCTTGATTCGATCAAGGCCAGACCTTTATGGGGCCCCTCTTCAAGGAAGCACGCGTACTGGGCTTGCATGGTTGCCTGGGGGTTTCTGGTGCCTGTCTGTCAATCACGTCTGTGGAGTATGGTCTTAACTCGCCAATTTGTATGTAGTCAGGTTGTCGAAACAAGAGGAATACACATAAAATCATATGGTCACTTCTCAAAGGGAGCCCAACATATCCCGAAGAAACCATTGAACACACCGCAATTTACACAGATCCCACACCAGAAAACATGGACACCTGCACTCCCACAGTCTCCTTTTTTTAAACACCCATTTATTCAATCTTGTTTTTTTTGGGGGGGTTCTCGGGGTTCTTGTTTCCATGGATGCTACTCCGGTCGCCTCAAGCTCGTGTGCAGCCAGGCGGCCATCGTAGACCAGACCATTTCCGTGCACCTCGGCTCGGGCAAGACGGCAAGTCACCAGCTCAGTTGCCCGCAAAACATGCTGAGAAGGTAACCAAGGGAACCCTTCAAAACCTAAAATATAGATATATGCATATATCTATATTGGAAAAATTACCTATATGGCCTCAGTTGCCTCTTGACCCAGAACTAAAAGGTGACCACCTTGTGCGTCCAGGACTTATACACCAACAGGGAAAAACCAAAAGGTCAGATCCGGTCGATTCCCTTTGGGGCCTTTGGTCACCGCAAGCCCAACAAAACGGATGAAAGAAATCCATGTCGCACCTGTGATGGACACCGCATGACTACCGGGATGAACCACATACAAACTGCTGGGCTTTTTCCCATCCTGCTTTGCTATCCTTTCATGGCTTGCGGCGGGCTCTAATTGACCTCTGGCCGGGAAGGCAACCACTGGAGCTTTTGTTGGCTTGCGCCTCTAACCCGAACGAAAACACATCTGAAGACGCGAGTCAAACAATGCACCGTTCAGGAGAAGCCGAGTTGCCCAGCTCCAAACTCGAAAATCGCTCGTTGGTTCTCAGGGAAGGGGGGTCATTCTCCCCCTTTCCTTAAAGGGGCGATTGGGTACTTCGTGAGTTCGTAAGCCGGGCTGTACCCCACGCGAATGGGTTACTATGGAAAAAAAACACTTAGCTGATGTACCGAACCAATCGCCCCTGGTGTTCTTTGAGGGTCCTTGGGTTAGTTTGGGAAACCAATCAGAATATGGGTATATTTTAACTAGGAGACCTCTCAAAATGGTTGCTGGGCTGTCCTCAACTAGGCCAAGGGCATCGGGTTCCCGCGATTCCATGGGGGGACTTGACCGATTGAAGCTCAGGTGAAGAACCGGTGAAGAGCCGGAAGGTGAGCCCGGAAAAGCATCTAAAACACACACAAAAAACAACAACAACAACAGCAGCAACCAAAAAAAAACATGTGCTGCACCCAAGCTTGGTAGAAACATTCGAAACCTCAAACATCATTTTTGGTGTTGGCGACCCAACCAGAACTCTTCAAACTTCAAGCTCCGCCTAGCATACGGGCAAAACCCAACCCCAACATGTTTCGTCCCTTCGATTGGCCGCAAATCCGTGGATGCTTTTGAGGTTGCCCCCGAAGATGGGCCAGCGTTCGAGCTTCTTGAAAAGCCGCCTTCTTGGGTGCTGGGCCAAGTTGGTAAGTGGCTAGTAACCATCTCTACTCTTGGTATGGTGGCCCAAAACTTTGTTTTTTGCAGACCCCCAGTAAAAATGAACAGAACAAAAAAAACATAAAACATGCCAAGAACAGTGAAGTAACAATGGTTTTAACCTACTTACAACTGGCCCAACTGACACATAAGTAAGATATACCTCAGGCTGACCACTTGCTAACTTGGCCGAACATTCAAGTTGCTAATAGGAAACAGCCGATTTCCGCAAGCACGAGAATAATGTTGACCTATTGACGCAGGATTCATTGGCCTTGGATTGATCTACCAAGGGGGGGAGGTCCCATTGCAACATCCGAACTAATGAATTCGACGGGTTGATTCACAACTAGGTCCTCCAGTAGAGAGGTTAGAACAAGGGTACCCTTTTTTTCTGTAGTCTATTTTGTGTAGGGGAACCCTCCCCCAAAAAAGGGGTGAGAAAGAGCACCCAGCTGGGGCACCTAGACAAACAAGGATTCGAGGTAGAAACAGCGGGGCGGATTGAGCAGAACACATCCGCGAACGAATGCAACAAGTCGCTTAGTGGGCATGCGCGCCTTTCCACTGTGGCGCTAAGTTGGCTGACGTCAAAGCTCTCAGCTTGTCAAGGGTCCCTTTAAACGGGAGCAACTGAAAAGAATGATTGTTCCCCAAAAAAGGACATGCGAAATTTGTGCGCGGGATTTGGTGTCCCCTCCCCAATCTAGCAGTAGACTGTCATGTCACTCGACTTGCAGCTACTGGAGCCTCAAGTCACGAGCCATGAGGCTACCGGGTACCTCCCAATCCTCATAAAGGGCGCTGTCGATGTTTTCCGCCTTTGACTTGCCCAAAAAACGGAGTGGAGCCCCAAGAAACAGGCTCACCCAGTTTAGCCCAGTGTCTGGCCAGTGACGCAACGACTTCACCAAATGAAGATGGGATTTTGCGTTCTGCAACAACTGCTGCAAACAAGTGTTGCAAACAAGTGCTGCATCGTACTCTTCGACTTGTCGCGGCGTAATACTTTTCGCCCCAACACCAGCTTCCCCGCCCGAGTCATCCATATCTAGGTCCTCCAGTGGAGAGGTTAGAATAAGGGTACCCTTTTTTCTGTAGTCTATTTTGGTAGGACCCTCCCCCAAACAAGGGGTGAGAAAGGGCACCTAGCTGGGGGACCTAGATATGGCTCAATTCGACTCCCACGACTTCGATTCGACAATTCATTGCCAGGCGCCGAGTTGAAGATGTCCGGGTCCACGTTAACTTCGTCCGCCGTGATGCAAATCCGGCAGGCCAGGAGCTGACAGAAGAAAGAATCGGGGGTCCGAAGGGCTGACAAACTTGAGACACAGGCTACGGGAGATGTGTTTTGTATTTGTTGTTTTTTTCCCGACTGGGTTGTCCGTTTTCAGATCCCCTGCTAAAAGTGACGGACTTTTAGCGGGTTAAATGGAAATCCAAGCACTAAACCCTAAAAAGCTAAACACCTATGCCAAGTCTAGGTAATTAAGGGAGTTTTTGGTCGAGGTCGACTTCGTGTCAAGTAACTTGGAATACTGACGTGGTCCTCTTTATTCCGTTTACGGGTTCCGTTCCACTAACATGGAGCCTGAGTCTCTGCAAGACCATCGTCCTGTCAAAGGGACAGATGGCAGTTCTAGAGGCAATCAAACGCTTATTTTTGGTTTTTCGTGAGTAGAACCCTCCCATTGGTTTGGTCGGGACCTGTTGGATTTGCCACAAGCAAGGCAGGTACGGTATCCTGCGAATACATTCAGTAAAATGAACCCTATTTGACCGGGGCCAACTGCGGCGAGTCGGCTTTGGGGCTTCCACTGCTGCAGCTTAGTGCGGTGTCAAGGTGAGATTCAGAGTGACGGAAAAAATGTCGAGGTGATGATCTGACGGAAACAGACACACACACACACACCACACACACACACTTTTGCTTGCGGTATCCTAGTCAGATCCAAGACAAACACAAACTTTACGTACTTGGATCCACGGGGTAAGTAGAATAAGAAGCTCTTTGGCATGGGCGTTCTGCAATTTCAGCCAAACCAAAATAAGGTTGCAAGTCTAGGTCCTCCAGATTTGAGAGGCTGGAACAACTGCACCAACTTTTTTGAGAAGTCTATTTTAGTAGACGAAAACCCTCCCCCGAAAAAAGGGGTAAGAAAGGGCACCTATCGCTGGGGGACCTAGAAGTGGGTCGTGATCGACCATCGACTCCAAGGTCTGATCCTTCGTGCCAATCTTGCACGGGGTCTGATCCTTCTTGTGATTGAAAAAAGATCTTTGCGTGAGTCCTTTTGGTGGCCGGTTTTTCACAAAGGGATCCATGACCATACTTAAAGTTGATGGCAGAATAGCAGGGATCCGGATGCATGAAAAACACCTGAACATTGCAACTTGTAAATGGTGGGAGACAATCCTCTGAGTGAACCAGAGATTGATAAGTCATGGTAAATCATGAGAATCCGGAGTTCGCATTGCACGGACCGTGGTTTGCTTGGATTGGTGTGTCAGATTTCTTGAAACATGAACGACAACCCGGTTGTCTCAATCTAGAGGAACCCCCCAAAAACCAGTTCTTGCCGTCAAGAGACGCAAGTTGCTTTCCTCCAACAAGACCCTCTTCTTGGCTTCTGTTGACCCCCCTGCAACAAGTTTTTAACTTTTTGGGGGTTTAGTGGAAAATCCAACTTTTCCTTTGAACACAAGTTGACGTTTTCTCTTCGACAAAAACGAGTCACAGGCCTTCTGTGGCAAGCCGTTGGGGCTGGCGCCGAAGTCCTGTTGACTGGAACCCGGATTTGTTCCAAAACCTTGGGCTCCTACAAGAGCAAACACTAGGGCGGTGGGAAATGGAATCCACGGATCTATGATACAACAGAAAGGGCTTCCCAAAGACGAACCTAGGTCCTCCGGTAGAGAACTTTTTAGTCTGTTTGTAGGGGAACCCTCCCCGAACAAAAGGGTAAAAGGGCACTACTGGGGGACCTAGTAACCCCTCATACGAAAGGAGAGCAAAAAAAAGCTTCAATTGTATCACAGGAGTGGGGGATAAACCCATAGCGTCCCTCTGGAGCTGCGGAGGGCTGGTTTCCCATTTCTCTACAAGAAACAGCGGTTATCCCCAAACCAGCCAGCCTAACCACGAAGCAAGGCTTACCCAAATTACATCCATTTGCTTTAGCTCTCAGGAAAAAACATGTTTTGTTAAAAAGAAGAAACAGCACAACAAACACTTCCAGTAGTTCTAGATTCCCCCCCAAAACCAAAACACTTCTTAAGCAACATTGCCAACTCAAATCCTGAGTGGACGGCCAGAAAAAGCTTGCTTGCCGCTAAAAATGGTCCTCTCCAAGTCCTCCTGGATTTTGGCCCACGCGACCAGTTCTATGATCCAAAACACATTCTTTGCAGCGTAGATGATACACATTCGCAGAAACTACATCTGGCAGTGAGAACCCACCGAACAAATGTGATCAGCGCGGCAAACGAGGCACAGCTCGAGCCGCATTGCCCAATACGGCAGAACGAAAAAGCACAGCTTGAGCTCAAGCATGAGGACCAACTCTCGGTAATGTCATACCGATACCAATGCCAATACCCCATTTGGAGACCAGCCCCAGGCGGCTATTACCCTGGTCAGGAAAGTACCCCCCTAAGCGGATCAGCCAAGGCCGGAACTTTTTTGCCACAGAAAAGGTCTTCTAGCTTCCCTTCCAAACCTACCAACTGGCCTTCCCTTACGTGGGTGGGGAAAAAATCGCTGTGGGTCAAAAATACCCAAAATTAAACCCTGGTAAATGGAACCAAGGACACTCAAACCTGCGGTCCCCTGGTGGAAACATTTTTGCCCGCACCCACCCATGAATGAAGTCCTACAAAAAGGCTGTATACACCACCTACCAACTGATGCCTGGCGCGGATGGTGTCCATCCGCAGTACTTAGACACAAACCTGCGTGGTAAATCTAAGCCTTATGCAAGAAAAAAACGCATTTGTGGCTCGTACCAGGGGATCCGTGTTGTTTGACAAACATGTGTGTAAATATATATATATATATACATATATATAGATGGGGGGGACTCTTTGGTGGACATCATTTCAGTTCAGATTCATGTCCACCAACCACTTTGCAAAACCCCTCTGGCATGGAAAAATCCATGGCCATATGGCTGCGGGTCAAGAATAGGTACCCAAAATAGAACCCTGGTAAAAGGAAACATGGACATTCAAACCTGCGGTCCAATTCCAGGTGCTTTAATTTTGACCCACAGCCATACGTGGTATACGAGTGAAGGCTACTCCTCCATGGTGCCCATGGGCGCTCTAGCAGCCTCCGGTGCGGGGAACCTGGCGATCCATCGCTTCGCCATACTCCAGTTACCTAGATAGCCAAGTTGCGATCGCTTTTTTCAGTCACTGTCGCTGGTTTCTGGGGTAAACTGATGGAAAAACGCAGCAGTTGGCGATCCAGGTAGGATCCCCTGCTGGCTTGACTTGTAGTGGGGTTGAATGGACACCCAACCCGCGAAAACACCTGAAAAGCTATACCTGGACCCTCCTGCATGCTCAAAATGTCCGCCTGAAAAGAATCTTTTCACACGCCAATCGCAAAAAACACGTTTTTTGGCCAACGCCTAAAACTCTTGACCCCCAGGTCCAGGTATCACCGGGCTGTCCGTTGTCAGATTTCAGATCCCCTGCCCAAGCCCGAAATGAAAAAAGCTTAGGGCCCGGACGGCTGGGAACAAAAATCAGAGGTGTCCATCTCTGCATGGGTTCATCTACCCTCCAATCATGGAAGCTGACGGAAGCGGACTTTGGAAGACCTCCTTTTAGGGAAACCGCTGTCCACCTCCATGGCTTGAAAGAACGGTTTATCTCAAACCCCTCAAGTGCGCAGCCCAGTTTCCTTTGGCGATTCCAATGTGCTTTGCGTACCTACTCAACTTTTTGTCAGGCATGGTTGGGAAAACCTGGTTGTCCATGATAAACACCTCCTTGCTTAGTGGGTTGACATGATACCCCAAAAAACAGGTGAGTATTGGGTGGAGGTATGTCTTTCCGAAAACCAATCAACATGGACCCAGCCATGGGGGGTTGGACCGAGCGGACATCTCCGCGCCGATTCCTGTGGTTGGCTCCCGAAAGATTGATTCCTTTAGTTTCCGTTTAAGTACCAAGCAAAAGGGGGGGTGAGAAACTCCCATATGTACCATGGTCAAAAGCCCCCTTCACTTTGGGCATGGTCATGGACCTTTATAGGGGAATTCGCACCATTGTAAGGTTTCACTGATTCTGCAAACTTTAAAATATGTCCAAAACCTGAAATAAGGAATGCCCAAGTAGCGGATCTTTATCATGGCTTTCGCTCGTTTTCCCCCCGAATCGGTGAGCTCGCCGTAAATTCGCCAGACTGATCATGGTGGTGGCTATCTCACCATGGTTATTACCCGCCTACCTGACGCCTTTACTAGGTCCTCCAATAGAGAGGTTCGAATAAGGGTACCCTTTTTCTGTCGTCTATTTTAGTAGGGGAACCCTCCCAACCAAAAAAGGGGTGAGAAAGGGCACCCTTTCGCTGGGGGACCTAGTGTAGATTCCCTTCAAACCCAACAAGGGAAAGTTGAAACAACCTCTGGCCCCCGCGCCTCTGAAAAAACCTAGTCTAAAAAACGGGGCAAAAGGGCACCTATCGCTGGGGGACCTAGAAGTGGGTCGTGATCGACCAATGACTCCAAGCTCTGATCCTTCGTGCCAATCTTGAACAGGGTCGTCTATTTTAGTTGGGTTCCACCCTCCCCAAAAAAAGGGTAAAACGGCACTACCGGGGGACCTAGTTGAAGATGTTGGATTCAGTGGGCCAAATTCACTGGGCCCCGCGCCTCTTCTCCCGCTCCCGCTCCGCAGCAGCCAGGTCCTCCGCCTGCCCTACCTCCCTGGGCCGGTTTCGAAAGTCGACGTTGGCACAAGTCCAACCGGTTTGGGGTTGTCTTTTTTAGGAGACCCCACAAAAATGTGTTTCTGTTTTTTTGTTTTAATTTCCCTTTTGGTGCTCCTTTCCTGATCCATTACCAGTGTAACCTCGACAAAAAAGACACTCGCGTTGGTGTAGTCATTCTCTTGACTTACCAACATGCAAGAATCCGTGCCATCTACTTTCACACTGGTGTAGTGGAAACACACTCAAGTGTACAAGCTACTATACACAAGGGCAAAAGTAAATAGCACGGTAAAGGGGTTGATTCAACCAGCATTGGACACTTGTGCCATCTACTTTACAGCCAACCGCAATTCCCATGGAAATACAGCACCTAAGCGACCTTTGTTACCGATAGGTGAGCGTGACCCGCCCGCTGGATGAGCAAAGAGGTGTCGCAGTTTGCACTGGTCCTTTGTAGTTGTGGGCTTGCCCCCACTTTCTGAGTGAATTGGCCGGAAAGAGTCCCCAAACTTTCTTGTTACAACTGAGTTTTCTAGGGCACACCTCCCCATTCTTTCCTGGGATCCTTCTTTCCAGAAAACTTTCAAAAAACCCAGGGGAAACAAGTGCTAAAGTCCAAGAAATCCGGAAGTGAGTGCCCTAACCCCTGAAGTGAGTTGTCTTCCAGCTGTTCCCCCCCCCCCCCCGCCCAAGCGAGTATAGCCTGGCCAAGAGTGCTTGGTCCGATTGAAGGGACACCCAAGAATCTACGATGTCAGTAGCGCTATTTCATGATGCACTGGATTCCCTACGTTTTGTCTTTAAACATCATCCCAAAGGGAAACTCATTCTGCAATGGCAACCAACGGGTACTGCTCCATCACTAGAAAGGGAAATACAAAGACCCCTGTTGCGCTTCATGGGGTCAAGTGCTTCTTGGGCTCCTCTTGGATCGTTTAGGATCGTTCTCTTGTTCCTCTTCCGTTTGGCATAATATAAGGGCTAAACCCACCATTTTTTCGGGGGGGCGGGGGGCAACTTTGGAGCACAAAAAAAATGTGTATATATATATATGTATATATATATATGTATATATATATATATCTTCAATTTTCAGATTCCGCATATGGGTGTCTCATGTTTTTCCTTTGTGGGTACCCTTTTTGGGATGGTTTTACCGGGACAACCAACGTAACCGCCGTTTTCTGCTGAGGGAGGTTCGCCTATTCTGAGACACGCCCAGATCAAGTCTTCTCCTTGCACCTCAGGAAGACAGCCAACCCATGGGCCTTGCTTGGTTGACGTTGGAAGGGGAGCAGAAATTTAAATTTTAGCAGTTAAGTGGTTGGACTTCAACCACTAAATCAAAATAAGCAAAAAGGTAAAATGTTTCTCAACAACAGCCATGCGTGTACACTCCGTGGGGCCCGGGCTGGTCAGGGGAGACGTGGTCCTCTAAGATAAGGCCCTTGAGACGGCCCCGGGTGCATTGCTGGATGCCCAGCAACCGGTAGCCCTCGTAGACCTGGCCAATGGTGCGTCCATCTATAACTCACTTGCTGAGTGGATGGCCCAAAAAACGTCCAAACTTTATATTTACCACTAAAATGGTCTTCCCAAAAAGTGACTAAAGTTCATGAGCTCAGGAAGTGAGTTTTTGGCTTCTGAAGCTTGTTGGTTCTCAGCGGAGAAGTTGGAACCCCTAACCATCCAACCTGTGGTGTCCTTTCGGGAATCCCTACCGCACCTAGCGCACCAAGCAAAGGAGAGCTTTCGGTATCCCCAAAGGGCCCTGAGAAACCAAAAGGCGATCACCTTTTGAGACCAAACGACGAAACATGGGGCAAAACTGGAAAGCCACAAGGTCAAAGGTCGATCCGAAATTTGGTTCAGTACTGCAGGGCACTTAGCAGCTGGTTAGTCACCCCGGCTATATCCCACTCAGGAACTTACAAACAAGGTTATGACGATGGTTACCCTGCCCACTTGCCAAGTACCCTGCCCCTTCAAGAATAGGGACCCGACAAAAAAGGCGGCTCTAAGGTCATCACTGCCCCAACACCCGCCCATTTGTCCCAATTGTTGTAGGTTCCGCTTTCAGAGTCACCAGAAGTCTTGTTGTTTCAAGAGGAGTTCGCATTTGAGTTGCGACAAGTCCGGCCAGGAAACACGGCGAAGGTACGGTTGACTACCGACTCTGAGCCGCGGTCTCAAAATACGAAATTTCACAAATGGCAACACCTTTCAAGTCCACCCGCCCACCCCACACCATCCCTCCCCACGACCCGGCCAAACCCCAAAGCAGCCAACCCAAACCTCCCCCACCCCACGCAAAAATACCTCCAGTTTAGGCTATTAACCCCAAGGTGTGTTTGAGAGTGGTCCTTGAAAGGGAGGCGTGAAAAGAAGCACCCTTGTCTCAAACGTTGGGGTGAATCCCACCCGTCTACTCGGCTTGATCTGTCATCTTTCAGGTCCAAGCTTTTGCTTACAACCGCCTGTTGGAATCTTTGCGCAAGCAAGCCGCGTTTGGTATCCCTCAGAAAAAAAATGCCAGGTGTCAAAACTCCTTCGCTCATGGCCGCGCCTTGGGAACCTGTGCGCTCTTAGGTCCTCCAGTAGAGAGGTTAGAATAAATTGGTACCCTAAGGGTACCAACTTCTTTCTGTAGTCTATTTTAGTATTGGAACCCTCCCAACCAAAAAAGGGGTGAGAAAGGGCACCTAGCTGGGTGACCTAAACTCTAAGTTCCCTCAAACCCTGCCAAGGCCAAGGCCAAGGTTTGGTCTATTCGACCATGGCGCGGGGCCCTTTTTTCGGCGAATTTCTGTCACCGAGTTGGACCCATCAGCCTCCATTTTGCTGAAGTCCCCTGGTAAAAATGATAAACTACTGCCAGTCGTGATAGATTCCCCTTAAAACCAACTGGGGAAATAAAACATATTCATTTCAGCAAATGGAAGTAAGATGTGCGAAGGGAAACCGTTTTTTCTTTTGTCCTTCCCTGACTTCTCTGGATTGGCCAAAACATGTCCGAGACACTTGTTCTTGGCCACAATTGTTATTCCCCCCACAAAAACAAAGCCGGGTTTGCCTTTTCTACTGAAATGAACAGCCTCCCTTGAAAAGGCTTTCTACACTACCAGGGCTGCTTATTTATCCCACAGCGGAAAAGGCAAAAACCACGGCCCAAAGTTCAGTCCATGTCAGGCGAGAGACATATCCGCACACCTCCATAAAAAAAATCCAGTGGCCCCTTTCAACGGCTCGCACTACCTCCATCTTGTTTTAAGTTTCGTTTCTGGGGAAGCGACAACTATATGTCCAGTTCCTTTCAAAGCGAAACACAAAATCGCCCAAACAAATGGAAGGCTAAAATAAGGAAGGTTAAAATTTGTAGAAGCTCCTTATTGAAGGAAATGGAAGGCTAGGCTTAAATCTCCGTGTGCCACAAATCGCAACGCCCGCTCGCGCCTTGAGGCCCATGGTGTCCAGGATGCTGTGAATCTTCTTTTCAACCTCGTCGCCCTGAAGGCCGCGCACGGCTCAGCGGCATCGGTGGCCATTTTGAAAAAATGGATGGGTTCCCCTGGTACCAGTGCCATCTATCTTTGTTTTCATTTTTGCTTTTATCAAACTAAACGAAAAAGGTCGGATGGGTTCCCCTGGCAAATGGAGTGAAACCCATCTATCATTCCATTTACCAGGGGAACCCATCTAAACCAGTGCCATCTATTTGTTTACTCAAACTAAACTAAAAAGCACACCTATGAGTGTAGGACACGCGCTTCTGTTTGAGGCTCGGTAGCCCGGATTTTGTGAGCAACCGGGGGGGAGGAAACTTGGGGGGGTCATCCCATTACAGCACATCCTTTTTTTAAGCATTTTTGTTGGAGGCTGACAAATGGGAACCAACGGATTTTGTTGGCGTGTCTAGTTTTGGACTTTGTACCCCGTTCTGGTGGATTGAAAGGGAAGAAAAAGGGAACACCCACGGATTTTGCGGCGACCAACTCCTTGAAAAAAAGGTTTGAAAGCGAAGAAAAATGGAAAACCCACGGATCAAATCCTTCGACAAAAAGGCGAGCCTCCCTTTGTGAGCAACCCACTGCTGAACCTTGGCACGTGTGTCCCGTATCTCCGCGGTGAATATCGAGGCTCAGGTTGTGGGGTAAGTTCAGACCAAATGGGTGGCTCGTCTAGTAGGATTTGGACCCCCCAAAATGGCGCCTTTGGGGTTCCCTTTCAAACCTTTAAAAGCCACCAAAGACAGGGTACCCTCCAAAAAAAAGGACAGACCCATAACATGATTAACAGCAAAGGGAAATACTCTGCATTGTAAGACTAGGCACCTCGAACTGAGAAACTCAAGCTTAACCGAAACTCAAGCTTAACCCGTTGATCAGTCCCGTGAGCAGTGAAGAGATTGCTGGTGCTACCGACACCGGCAGGCACACAACCTCATTCACTTCAGCGATGTCGTGTTCAACAAACAACATGCTGTTGACTTTCAATTGGCCCCAGCTTAACACTTTGACCTTACAAAAATATGATAAGTAATGCTAAGCCAACAGCAAGAGTATCAACTGTAAGCTCCTGCATTCTTGAACAGTTTTGTCAGGTAAAGCGAATGATTAGAGGAATCGGGGATGCGTTGTCTTCGACCTATTCTCAAACTTTAACTTGAGTGCCACCATGCTTTGTGGATGTTCCTGTTGGTGTGCTTTTAGCTACGGCGGAAGCCCCGCTGATGGCGCCAGGGTCTTCCCTTCCACCTTTCGAAAGGCTGCCGAGCGTGAGGAAAAACATATCTTCCACTTGGCTAAGGCCCCAGGACGAAAAAATAATGATACTTCCAGTATAGGGATGCATTCCTTTTTTCGGACCAACAAGGGAAAGTAAAAACATATTCTTAGGCACATGGAGGATATCCAAACGTTCGCCTTAAAACTCCAAGCCCATGTTACCCAAAAAATTGAAAAGTTGTGTTTTTAAGAGGTAGGAAAAGAGCCAGGACCTGGTGGTTCTCTTCTCAGTCAACCCGGAGCCGGAGCTCCAAGGGCACCTTGGTGACTAAAAACAAACCAAAAGCTCAGATTCATAGCTGGCCTTTTGGACAAATCGATGGGTTCCCCTGGTACATGAAAAAAAACATCTAAACCAGGGCCCTGGATTATTGTAAGCAAACCAACCAAACAGGACGCCTATGGTCAGATTGATCCCGTGGATTCGCTTTGGTAAGGCATGGGGCCCACAAAACTCTAGGGGTTGATTCCTTTTCCATTCTTTTCAGCCATCGTTCTTTCCAAAAACCGATCGCCATTTCAACCCAGGGTTTTTGGTGGTTTTCTATCAAAGATCCGGATCCCTGGGTTAAGAATGGAAATGGAATGTTAGCAGCCTACCCAAATGGCCCCTTTGGTTTTGGTTACTTCCGTTTGGTTTCCCTGTAAACCACAAACAGACAGGTACCGCCCAAAAATGGAACAAACCCTGTAAACCACAAACAAAAGGTACCCGTCCAAAACAAAGAGACCCCTAGAACTGGAAATGGAAGTTAGCCCCAGAAAAACAACTTAGTCCTCGCCTCATAGAAGGCATCCACGGAGAGGACTTGCTTGCCCTTCTCCTGTCCGAGTCAAAGGTACAGCAAGGGCAACTCAAGAAAAAAAATCGCTCCGGCAAATCAACATGGGTCTGTCTGTTTTTTGAGGGCACTCCTCTTTTCGGAAGGTGTTAAAGGGAAACCAACAAAAAAAAAATATTTTTTTGGGGGGGGGTCCGGCAGAAAAAGACACTGCTTGATGGACCCCCGAGCTGACATTTGAGGAAACTCCTTTTGGGGGCCCTTGTTGGGCTCCGCGTTTCGGGCAGTAGGGTCTGGGGATTCGGGGCGCAGATCACATCTTCGTACCTGGGACCTTCCAGCTTGATGACTTCTCAACTTCGGATGGGACGGTGCGACAAAATAGTCCTTCCATGTGCTTAAGATTTGGGGGAGATGGCTTCGAGTTTTTTTGGATTGCTCCCCTTGCTGGCCTCATTCTCTTCCCATGGTCAAAGTCACCCCTAAGTTTAAGTGGTGGGTTAAAGGGCCCATTTCTGACTTTAACCCCCAGAAACCGTCAACATAATGACCGCTGCAAGGCCCCTGGGAAAAACAACTTATTTCTAACGGTGATAGATTCCCTTTAAAACCAACAGGGCATGAAAATTCCATTCAGCCATTGCTGCAAGCAAACGATTTGCAAGAGATCCCCCAGCCTGCTGCTGCCGAGGCGGCAACACCTGAGCGGAGGGAATGCGGGCCAAATCCGAAAAAGCCAACTGTGTGAAATCGTTCAGGGGAAATATAGGCGTGTCTTTGTGTGTAGGGGACCCTCAGAATGGTGGGTTCTCTTGTTAGTTCCCTCTAGTTCCCCAACCGAAAGAGGGTTTGGGACCCAAAACAGACACACTGACATGTGGCTGGGGCTCAAAAAACCGGTACCAAAATGGAAGCCTGGTAATTGGACACATGGACCCGTTAAACGGACCTTGGTTGACGTTGGAAGGGGAGCAACAATTCTCAAATTTTAGCCGTTCAGTGGTGATTTTAACCACTAAACCACAATAAGATCAAACATGGCAACAAACAAATGTTTCCCAACAACAGCCATGAGACACACTGACCATGTGGCCGCGTCTGGACGGTGCCGCGTCTTTTGGTCGGGCTGAAGGGAAACCAAGAGGAACGCGTTCGAAGCCGAGACAAAGCCATGCGATCCGCGACACGATGCGCACAAGCACGACCCGTGATAATTTGGCCATGGGTGCAACACCCGGGTTAGCCCCCAGTGAACGGGACCCAAATTCCCCACGAAAATAGGTTCTAGAATGGGTGGTGAATTCACCTACCCCAAAATGGTACCATTGGTTTTGACCCACAGCCATATAATCACCCGAAGCCATGCAAGGAAGCGCGCTTTCCACCTCTGCCAATGGTTGGGAAGCTGCGCCAAGATTGAAAGGATGTGCTCAAAATCACGGCCCTAAGTGGTAGTTTCAAGGAAAACCGGGACTGAACAATTACCTGACTCACTTGCCCCTTAGAAACCTGGGCATGAAAGGTTCACCCTTCGGGACTAAAGTAGAGCAAAGGGAAACCCTCTGGTGGAGACCCCGAGAAGGAGGGTCACAAGGTAACTCAGTTGCCCCTCAGCGAGCCGGAGCTAGAAGATTAAACGTGAGGCGCCATGGCAAAAATGGACGAAAACTGGAAAACCGGAAGGTCAACAGGTCGAGCCGCTTTGGGCAAGTGAGCGGAAACGTGCTGACTTGGGACGCCCCATCAAGGACAACACATGTTGCTCCAGCCAGTCTTTTTGCGCTTCAGCCGCTTCTCCCGTGGCTCTCCCATTGGCGCAGGAAACTTGGGGTGCTCTTAACTTGACGACAAATGCTGCTGAGTGGCAAATCTGCTTTTCCGGTCGCAAGTTAAACTTTTTTCCAGGCCCGATCGAACAGCATGCAACGATTTAAGTACTGAACAAATCAGATGTTTCTGGCAATTGATATACAAACCAAATGGGGGGTCTGTTTTTAGGCAAATCCCCACTCCCCAACAACAAAACAACAGTGGTTTGCCTTTGGTTTCCCGTTTTTTTCCACAATGCGCTGCTGGTCAAGTGCCACGCCTAACTAGCACGATGCAAGCGCATATACACTTCAAAAACTCTGGTGATGGCAGCATTCAAATCTTCGAATGTTTCTGAATATTTTTTTGTTTCAGCTTGGTCCGCTTCTGCTTCATTCATGTCACTCGACACTTCAACCGAGATCACGCCGTTCATCAAAAATCCTTACATTACACACCTGAACCTTGCAACTTGTAAATGGTGGTTTCCCTTTACTTTGATGAACAACGGCCCATGTTTCAAATGGTGGCAAATGCAACTTGTAGATGGAAACACGGTTCATCAAGACGCGGTTTCTCGACTAAAAAACATCCTTCGCGGCCTTTGGTTTTTTTTCCATCCGCTGGCAGTGGGCGCTGCTTGCGCCATGGGTCAAAATCCAAACCCGGAAACCCCCAGTGAACGGGACCCAATCCAACCACGAAAATAGGCTCTAAAATGGGTGGGTTGAATTCACCTACCCCAAAATGGTTCCATTCTTTTTGACCCATAGCCATGTGTCCAAAACATCATCATAGGGGGCTGGGGGGGAGGGAGGGGAGGGGGAGGGAGCCCAAATCGGCCCGAAAGAAGCCGTATTCGGGGCTTTTACCTTCAAAACCCACCCCGAAAAGGGCTCCATCACCAGGAAAAAAAAGGAAGAAAAAAAAGAAAACAAAAAGGCAAAAAAAGGCACCCCTCTTTTCAAGCAGAGCTCAGTGTACCCACCCGGCCGCATGTTACCACCCAGGGCGGCGGCCAGAATGATCTTCCTCGCTGGCACCTGCGGAAACAGCCCGGGCCGACTCGGGTGACTCGCGAGATGCAACCCCCAAAAGGAACGAGAGATGCGACGTAAGCGGAACGAGACACTCTGCCCCCCAAAAAAGGGGGGCCTTAGTCGCATTTTCCTGTTCGGGATTCAAGCTGGTGGGGGGGGGGCTTAAGAACCTTAGTAGGATTCGGGTATAGCGGCTTGGGTGTTGCAGGGGTCAGGGATTCCAGCTGACTGAGTGTAGGGGTCTACTGCCCCCAAACCGAACCCCCAGGGTAGATTGGGATATAGACCCTTTATATGGCCGCTATACAGTGGCTGTATCTGCCATTATACCCTGAGGTAGTGGTTTGGGGGGAAATGGATCCACTGGGAAAGGGAAAAACCCGTTGGAACCTTGGCTAAAAGTGGACCGAAATTAGATAAACCAAAAGGTGGGCCCGGGACAACAGAGCTTAGTAACCAACGCACTTATACTGAACAACGCTGGACACTGAAAATTGACAATCTCAGCCTACATCCAAATCACGCACAGCAAACAGGGTCGAACTGTTCTGCTAATCTTCTGGATACGGACAACTGGTGAGTTTTCTGGTTCCCTGATAGTGAGAAACCTAGCGAGACCCCCATGTCCTTCCCACATGAACCAAACAACTTTATTATATAAACCATGGGTCAGGAGGTCAAACATGTAGCGGCCACTTGAAAAGCATCACACGAGGAAACTGGGCCGAATTCGCTTGGCCCGAAATCCTTTTGGCCCCCTTTTCTGTTCTCCAAACCAAAGACAACACACTCGAGAGGTGTGGAAACCCTGGAGACCCTTACTAAAATACGTCCCCGAGAAAGAGGGTCACCAGGTAACTCAGTTGCCCCCTCACGGACCCTAAGGCGCCATGGCTAAAATGGACCGAAAACTGGAAAACCGGAAGCTCAGATCCGGCCGATTCGCTTTAGAAACCATGTTGACTTGGGACGTCAAGGACAAAACATGCTGCTTCAGCTTGCGTGCGTGCCACGGAAAAGCCGCGTCTCCCACCGCTCTCCCACAGGGGAAACCCGGGGTGCTCTGAAGTTCAGGACTCCTTCTTTGGATGTGCTCAGTGCTTGTCGCTCGTTACCAGGGTTGTGGGATCACTCGGGGTTTATCCCCACTTCTGTGATACTTTTCACAGTCTCCCCCTTCATATGTGGCGTTCGTCTTTTAGGCTCTTTCTGTTGTATCCCAGAATCCCCAAATAGACAACTGAGGATTCACCGGGCGATCCATCGAGTCCCGTCCGAAAAAGGCCTTCCGCAGGAGCAGGCCCTGAACCACGCAGTACGCATTCAGCGAGCGCCCGTACACCTGAGGCACATTCAACGCATGTCATGGCGACTGCCCTCAGATCCCCCGCTAAAAGTGACTAACTTTTAGTGGGTTAAATTCGGAAACTACCACCAAACATTAAAAGCCTAAAAACCTAAGGAACCGGATGGCTGGGAGCCAAGATGCGGGTGCGTGGCTCTGCCCGAAGAACCTGGAACTGGTCGATTCGCTCAGCTGAGTCTTGTTTGTTTCCCTTTGAGCACCACGGAAAAGAGGTACCCTCAAAAAAAAAGGAAGAAGAAAAAAAGAAAACACGAGCAACCCATGTGTGTGTGTGTGTTGTTTGTGTGTTGTTTGTGTGTTGTTTGTGTGTTGTTTGTGTTGTGTGTGTTGTGTGTGTGTTGTGTGTGTGTGTTGTGTGTGTGTTGTGTGTGTTGTGTGTGTGTGTGTTGTGTGTAGTGTGTGTGTGTGTGTTGTGTGTGTTGTGTGTGTTCTGTGTGTGTTCTGTGTGTGTTGTGTGTGTTGTGTGTTGTGTGTGTGTTGTGTGTTGTGTGTGTTGTGTGTGTGTTGTGTGTGTTGTGTGTGTGTGTTGTGTGTGTTGTGTGTGTTGTGTGTGTGTGTTGTGTGTGTGTTGTGTGTGCGTTGTGTGTGTTGTGTGTGTTGTGTGTGTGTTGTGTGTGTTGTGTGTGTTGTGTGTTGTGTGTGTGTTGTGTGTTGTGTGTGTTGTGTGTGTTGTGTGTTGTGCGTTGTGTGTTGTGTGTGTTGTGTGTTGTGTGTTGTGTGTGTTGTGTGTTGTGTGTTGTGTGTGTTTTATGTGTGTGTTGTGTTGTGTTGTGTTGTGTTGTGTTGTGTTGTGTTGTGTTGTGTTGTGTTGTGTTGTGTTGTGTTGTGTTGTGTTGTGTTGTGTTGTGTTGTGTTGTGTTGTGTTGTGTTGTGTTGTGTTGTGTTGTGTTGTGTTGTGTTGTGTTGTGTTGTGTTGTGTTGTGTTGTGTTGTGTTGTGTTGTGTTGTGTTGCGTGCGTGCGTGCTTGCGCGCGCGTGCGTGCTGGGTGGGTGGGTGGGTGGTGGGTGGGTGGGTGGGTGGGTGCGTGCGTGCGTGCGCGTGCGTGCGCGTGCGTGCGTGCGTGCGTGCGGGCGGGCGGGCGGGCGGGCGGGCGGGCGGGCGGAGCGGGCGGGCGGGCGGGCGGGCGGGCGGGCGTGCGTGCGTGGGCGGGCGGGCGGGCGGGCGGGCGGGCGGGCGGGCGTGCGTGGGTGGGTGGGTGGGGCGTGCGTGCGTGCGAGCGTGGGCGGGCGGGCGGGCGTGCGTGCGTGCGTGGGCGGGCGGGCGGGCGGGCGGGCGTGCGTGCGTGCGTGCGTGGGTGGGTGGGTGGGTGGGTGTGTGTGTTTTGACTCCCTCTCATGGCGAGCTTCCCGAAATCGGAGCCTTGCCTCGCAGATTCACCTGAAACCCCCGAAACCCCCGAAAGCCCGTTGTGAGATGAATCTCTGGCCCGACCCGTTGGTTGGGAAGAACGTTGCAGAGAATTTTCAAGTCAGGCAAAACATATTAAGTGAACATATCGACACTTGTCGGCCGTAATTTCTCACATTAGTTCTCTTGTTGCTTCACCTTGCAGTTGCTGTTGACCCCCCTGCAAAAAGTTGAACTCCCCGAGGTTTAGTGGAAAACCCCTTGATTTCCCAAAAAGTTAAAGTCTAAAGATCCAACCCAATAGCAGTTAAGTCACAGCCTCATGCCAAGACTCCAAGCCTCCCCCCTTGATCGCGGGTTTTGACACCTGAGTTGCCCCGGATGAGTACCCAGCAAATCACCCTTTGGGACCAACACACTAAAAATGGGTACCAAAACTGGAAAACCAAAAGGCCAGATCCGGTCGATTCGCTTTGGTTGCAACTGAGTATCTTCTCACTTCCTGAGTGGATTGGCCCAAAAATGTCCCCACTCTTTTTTTTCCACCAAAATGGCGACCAAACCCAAAAAAATGACGAATTCAAGTGCGAAACGGAAGTCTGGAACCTCCATTTGGTTAAGACCCCTGGAAAAAGTAAACATATTTCCAGCAGTGATAGATTCCCTTCAAAACCAACAGGGAAAATGAAAAATATTATTAAGCAAATGAAAGGGAAGTGAGCCTAGGCCCACCTATCCGGGTCGCCCGGCAAGCCGGAGCCCGGATCGTGCGCCAAAAACGGCGATCTGAGGCGGCGGCCACGGCGTAGGACAGCGGGTTCCAGATCAGGGACTTGATCAGGGTGCCGCCCTGCACCAGCCTAAGACACGTTGAAAATGGCGGTGGCTGGACCCCCAAAATGGCGCGACAGCTTTGTTGCTGGCTTGCCTTTCAAACCACCACAAAAGGGTTGCTCGAAGAAAAGGGTGAAATGGCTATGGGTCAAAATGCCGGTGGTCCGGTCAACACCCAGAAAGCCTTCCAAAAAGACAGGGGGGTGGTAACCATCCCCAAAAAGGCACCTTAGGTTTTGACCCACAACCAAATGGGAAAATGCTAGGGATACCTTCCCCATTCTTAACCCAGGGATCAGGATCTTTCTAGAAATCCTTCAGAAACCCAGGGAAAACGGACCGGGTTTTTGAAAAGAAGGATGGTTGAAAAGAATGGTTGGAATCAACCCCTAGAGAAATGGGTGGCAAATATATTTTTCCAGGTCGGAGCCCCAAAAACAACGCCGCGACGGTCGGGTTTTCCCTCTTGGCTTCCCTTCAAACCACCAAAAACGGGTTGCCCCACAGATCCAGGAGGGCAGACAAAGGGTGCGCTGACGCATTAGACTCAGTTGTCTTGCGTTCAGCTAGTTGAAGCCTTGGCGTGGGTTTGACAGCAGTGTTGACCCGGTTGCTCTACAAATAAGTTTTTGCTTGTCTGATAGGACAAACATTGACCGCAGCGAACAACATCAGTAGTTTGCGAATGATGTTTGGGACGAATCATCATTCTCGCCATTCACACCTCAAAGGCTGGGACGATTTTCCCAGGAAATCGTTGGGTGATTCACGTTGCCTTGTCTCTTTTCAAACACCACCGACCCCAAAGGAACCTCAAGTCAAACTTGGCCAATGAGGTCATGTTACGTAAAGCAACCAAGGAGAGAAGGGGAACCTTCTCCGTTGAGCGCCGTGCCAAAGTCCTTAGCTTCGACACTGGGCCCCTGTGGCTCTTGGTTTTTGTTGCCCTGGGTAAGGGCACAACACCATTGGGGCCCAAACCCGTGAGCTTTAGGAGAAGGTTTTTGTAGGCTATCCTCAAACCGGAACCACCTCTACAGGGCGCTTTGTCTTCCCAAAAACACACCCTTTTGACACCAGACATATCTTTTGAGGGGAACCCCCATTAGACACACCTTGGAGACACGCCATTTCATCGCTGGGCTCCCGGACAAGTCCCTGATCGAGGGGTCTGCCGCGGACATGGCGCCGTTCACTCGGCGGTAGCCATCTGTGACGTGCTCGACCTCGAGGTAGTGTTGGTCCAGTGGCTTCTGGGAAAAAGGGACAGAAGCCATATATAAACCGCCAGTAATATTATATATATATATGTAATATCACTATTCAGGGACATTGTGTTGTTCATACGTATTATTTATCTATTCTTGGGTGTGTCTGGAAATAGGGACCCTAAAAATTGTGGCTTTCCCTTTCATTTCTCTTCAAAGCACTCCCCCCAAAACAAGAAAACCGTAAATCAGCCGTTGGTGAGTCACATGGACATGAATCCATGATCTATCAAGGTTTGTAATTGCTAGGCTACCTTATAAGAAACATGAGCAGGTTTAACATGGTTTGAAGACTACCAGATATTACGGCCTTGAATGTGCAATAAGATTCTTGGGATTGTCTCGGTTCATGTTCTTTTTTTTACTAAAAAACAGGTAGCTTCCCTGTGGCTTCCCTTTTTCCTTCGGCCCCACAAAAAGAACCAACCGTCACACCCACCGCCTCTCCCAGCCCCTTGTCCGCTGCTTTCGTTCGGCGTGCGCGAACTAAACGCGCAGCTAAGGCACTCCCATGGACTGGATCTTCAGGGCATGCAGGGCGTCATCCTGCAGGCCTGGAGGAATGGAAACCCGGGGCGGTTCTGGGGCAAATTGAAACCAGGAATTGACAGGCAAATCGAAACCACCAAGAATCTGGGTTGTTGTTTGGGATTCCGTTTGCAACCCCAAAGACCCCCCCAAAAAAATGGAAACTGCCTAGAGAGCCAAGTTGCGAGCGCTGTTTTCAGTCACTCTTGCTGGTGTTCGGGGTAAAGTGCATGGAAAAAAAACCAGCAACTGAGCGTTGGTTTTTCTAAGAACCAGTCTGGTGGGGGAAGGGGGCCTGCGAATCACTAGCCCTATTCTTTGGCGCTCGGCTAGAGCTGTTGGGACCCCCCAACACACACACACACACCGATGGGATGGAACATCAAGCCGTAGAAGACGATAGGTGTTGCCTTTCCGTCTTTGATCCAGAGTGGATTGAAACAAACCGGGGCATTTGGTTTCGGCTTCTTGAACTTTGCCAAAGGCGACACGAAAAATGCACAGCTCGGTTCTTGGTGACAAACTAGGGACGGCTCGGATGAAAAAGGTTGCAACCAGTGGGCCTGGTAAGCATGGTTCGATCGGAATGAGAAATAGAATTACCCGAGATCAACAAAGTCACACATTCCTGAATCCCCATTCCCAACACCCGGAAGGTCATTCTCTACTGAGCACCAGCAAGACAGAGGGAACGATCGGTTTTGGGGATGCGAGCCATGGTCTCGGCTGGCAGCACTGGACCATTCTCGTTCAGTTACTCGCTGTTTGTCCGCTGGTCGAGCGCACGAAGCATGCGTGCGAGGGGCACGCGAGCGTGGCACGCGGCTGGTGGGATTATTTTCAGTTGCTCGATTCTATGTACGGGTAACTTCCGCATTCTTTCCAGGGCCAAGGATCCTTCTTTCTAGAAGACCACCAAAAAACCTGGGGAAATGGATGGTTTTTGAAAAGAACGATGGCTGAAAAGAATGGAATTGGAATCAACCCCTAGAATGATACTGCGCCAAGCCCCCAATCAACAAGCAGAAGCATCAGGCTGTCCCCTTCTGCGTGTTTCCGGAATTGAGCCGTGGTTTTTCTAATTGTGTGGGGCCCATACACTGGAAGCACATACCTACGCGGAGGCTACGCAGCTGTCTTTCCGCGGAGGCTACGCGGAACACATTTCTTGACAAGTGGCTACGCGGGGGGCTACGCCGGGGCTACGCGAACGTGCGTTGGCAAACAGAAGTAGTGGTAGTAGTAGCAGCAGCAGCAGAAGTAGTGGTGGTAGCAGTAGTAGTAGTAGTAGTAGTAGTAGTAGTAGTAGTAGTAGTAGTAGTAGTAGTAGTAGTAGTAGTAGTAGTAGTAGTAGTAGTAGTAGTATATAGTAGGAGTAGTAGAAGTAATGGCAGTAGTGGTAGCAGTTGTAGTAGTAGTAGTAGTAGTAGTAGTAGTAGGAGGCATACGGGCTTGCTGCCTTGAATACGCCTTGGAGGCTACGCGGAGGCTACGCGCAGGCTACGCCGAATGAGCGAACTCAGTTCTGGCCGGGCCAAGGCAAATCAAATGCACCGTCTTTCTCTGAGACATGCAAGCTTTCAACCTACGCCTTTAGCTCAAGACAAAGGATCCATGCAGAGGCTACGCGGACGATTGTCGACAGCTCCCTTTGCTAGTGGCTACACGGAGGCTACGCGAGGCTATGCGGCCCCAGGAGGCTACGCGGCCATGCCAGTTCCCCTCTTCTTTTGGCTCCTGCATTCAAAAAAAACGCTACTCAATTGGGGACCGCGGGATGCATCCAGTACCACCGCTTTAGGGGCTTCATGTTTTATGACACACGCATGAGTCATTGAAACCGTGAATGCTTGCACAGGTGCGTGCTTTTTTAGTGGGACCTCCCCCCCCCCAAAAAAAAAGAGGTGGCGTTGGTTGTCCTTTCAGCCAACCTCAGAAAAGGGTATTACGGTATACCCTGAAGAACGAACCGCCTCACAGAAAGTCTCTGGAAAATCAATGCCTCAACTCCGAAGGCTCCGATAGCCGGGAGTTGCCTGTTGCGACCACCAAGTAGTCGTAGGGCAGCATTGAACCTTGGCACGAGGACCGACAAATTACTTGGGTGGCACACCCTAAGGCACTTCAGGCCAAGAACCTTGTTCAAGAGGACATAGTATTTCATTGGGTGGCCTGAACCCTTGCTTTTGCGGAAAACTTGTCCCCCATGTCCGCTGTTGCTCAAATGTAAAACGAACCTGCCCGATGCTATGAAAAGAGTATGTACTTGAGTGCCAGCAGCTCGGGGCCGATTTCAAAAGAGCTCTTGGAAAACTCCAAGCCGGACAAGGCCGTTGGCTGTCCGCGTTCAGTACAGCCATTTCCGGGCAAACTCTGGACCGAAAACGACGTTTCGGTCAAAAGTAAGGAGATCGGCAAGCAATCGGCTAGCCTGAGGAAATCAAAACACTCGCGGAATCAGTCGGTGGATCTGTGCGCTCCACTGCCCTGCGTCTGCTTGTCTTTGCGCCCGTGTGACTGTTCCACTGTGTGTCTGTGTGGGGGCGTGATGTATCTGCTTCTGTGTCTGTGTTCATGTCTGTGTGATCAAACACCACTAAAGGAAAACCACATATACGAAGCTAACAAGTTGTTGAACAGTTGAGCGCGTTCAACAAATCACAATGATAGTGATATATTAACCCCATGTAAATTAAGGTCATTACCCAATGAATTAGACAATCAAAAGTCTAACTGTTTGAATTTTCTGATTGATACATCCAAATAATCTACCGGGTTCATCTCATTATCAAAGACAAGTCCTGCGTGTATGGCTATGGACGCATACATAATCCACCTACTAAAATAGTAGGGTAACATGTGCCGCCTATTATAAGGAGCTGAATCATCACAGGTTACTACTTCATGACTCTGATTTGTCTCGGTTGCTTTCTGCTCCCCTGCTAAAAGTTTAACTTTTAGTGGTTTAGTGGGAAACCCATTAGTTGGCAAAAAGTTGTTCAGTCCTAACAGCCGTTGGCAAAATGCACCAAAGTTGTTTTCGTTTCTTTTGGCACCCCGAAACAACCCCTCAAATTCTGTTAGGGTCTTTGCAATACTGCAATGCAGCCCAAGGCGCCGTCATGCAAGATGCAGCACTTCTGCTGGCGGTCGATGTGCACCATGCGGCTGTCCAAAATCCGGACCCTGTGCAGCAAATCAAATCAGCAATGAACTCCCAGCAAGGGCCTAACTCATTAGAATGGGTGGGTGGGTGGGGGTACTTTAAAACCCACACTTCGCCATGCCAGGAGTCTGCGATTAGCAACTACCTGCCTCTGTATCTTTAGCGCCTTCACACACTGTTTGGACCACTCAGGAACCCAAACAAGTGCCATTTGTAGAGGACACTTCTTTTGACGCACGCTACCTTCTGGGTTCCACGTCAATTAGGGCAGTCAAGGAAACTATGATGAGACCTAGCATTTGGAGGGTGGTGTTGCCTTACACGTCGAGGCTCCTCATGCTCCTTCGAACGCACACTTCAGTTTCCAGGGATGCGAAACTCAACATGAAGCACTCGAAGAACTAGAAGGGGTGCGTCTTCTTAGGCTATGGTTTGACGGAAAGCCAGAAGGAAACCGACCATATTTTGGGAATTCACCGCCCTGTCTTGAGACAAACCCAGAATTGGAATAGGGCTGCGGAGCTTGAAAACTGATTATTAAATATTTACCAATTCACCGCACGCATATCACTTGGCTTGAGTTACTCCGGGAGGAAGCCTTGCAAATAACAGGCAGCTTCGTGCTTCATGTTCCTCGAGCGAAAATGCAAGGAACTGAGGAAAATGTGCTTTTGGATTCGTTGAGAATTCAGTATTGCGAACAACCAGCTGTACAACACATACTTCAGACATGTGTGCCCGGGACAAAAGTACGTGTTTCCCGCAAGAAGGCATAGTACCCCCAGTAAGAGTACCAACAAATATGTTTGCAAGTGACTGCAAGGCACAAGGACGCATGGCGGCCTTGTTTGCACAAAAGGTGGATGAGTCATAGTAAACGCCTGCACTAGTATCAAGTTATGGTCTACCCAAAGTCCGTGGTAAAGAATTCAAAGGGCGGATCTCCGATCAGTGGCAGGCAACGTAACTGGCTCTTCACTTGCCCAGGTGTTCGGTTCAAGCCCCCCTGTCACAGCAGCCCTTCCGGAAAGGTGGTTCATAGCATAATTACTGTGGATTGACAAAATCCACTTCGCACCAGCACTTCGCACCAGTTGGTAGGTGGCTTGTCCCATTGTCTACAGGGTTTCATCTATCCCGAGTGGTGCGAAATGGATTTCGTCCACCCACAGCACAGCCTCTCCCCGCTTTTGGGCCGATCCTTGTGTGGGCCAAGAAAGAGCAACCATACACCATCGGGTTGGTATTTCTACGGAGGCCCACTTAAAAGAAAGCGGGACAACTGCAGCATGGCAAGGGTTGGCTCAATTTCAGGGAGGTTTATAAGGACACGAATACACCAGTGGAGTGGTTGATGTAGGCAAGAGAGAAGTGCGAAACTCACTTCAGATCGAGTGGATCAGCCCAAAAAAAAAACCCAAACTGTCTGCTTGCCACTAACATGGTCCAAACCCAGAAAAGCTAAAGCTAGGTCCTCCAGTAGAGAGGTTGGAATAAGGGTACCCTTTGTTCTGTAGTCGATTTTAGTAGGGGAACCCTCCCAACCAAAAAAGACTGAGGGACCTAGAAAAGTCCAAGAAGATGGTCCAAAAGTCCATTGCCATGGTCCAAAATCCTCCAAACCCAAATGGTTCAAACGTCGGCTGCAGGCCTCAGCTCCAGCATGATTCTCCGTAGCTCCTGGTGCGAGTACGCCGCCGTACCTGGCCGGCGGATCTTTTTTTCGGCGAGGAGATCGACATCGCAAGGCGAAGAATTCCACCCCGTGGAATGGAGACATCCTCCGGGCGATTCAATTCTGCGGCATCAACGGCGCGGTTTCTGAAGGGGCGTTTCTGATCTCAACACTCAACCTGTGGAATGAAGAACCAAGGGCTCAATTGGAACCCCTGCGTAATATAACCCCTTGGTTAATGTCCATCCGGAAAGTGTCCCCTTATGGTGGTGACTCATTTACAGTTCGAGGGAACACCCCCCTATGAATGGGAGGGGTTGGTTAATCCGGGGTCAACATCAACGCTAATCAAGCCCCTAATCCCATTCATCAAAAACCGCGCCGTAAAGGATGCTGCAGAATTGGCCTGGACTGACAGAAGCCTCCAAGTTGGAACGTCTGTTTTGGGCCCGTGGCGTCGTTTTCTGGGGCTGCCTCTCCAGGGAATTGGTTGGGAATCCACAGTGCCCGTGTTGCCCACTCACGACTGACAGCGAAGCAAAGTGCCACACGAGATGCGAATGTCTCAAATACTTTGGGTGGAATGCAAGCACAAAGCTCTAGAGCAAGAACAAAAGATAATTAATAATAATCAGAAGACACGCGTTGGGCCAGAACGTGTAGGAAACAAACAACAGCACGCAAGCAAGCAAGCAAGCAAGCCAGCCAGTCGGCCGGCCAGCCAGACAGCCAGCAAGCAAGCAAGCAGCAAGCAAGCAATCAAGCAAGCCTGCAAACCTTGCATCCTTCCCTCCCCACGGTTTGTCCAATGGAAATGTCTATTGCCAAGGGAATCAAAACCCCGCGTGGACCTGCACAAATTACGATTCTCAAGGTGTAAACAAAGGGAACCGCGTTCTCAGTTGCCCAACGCACCCAGAAATACTTAAATACTTAAAATCATGGCATCACCGTCACAAGCCCCCAAAAGGGGTCCCCCAAAAGTAGTGTGCTCTTTGCTCAAATGGTACCTAAAAAGCGCTATTTAAACTCTTTTTCAGGGACACAAGTTGGAGATTTCAGTTGATTGATGTGGCCTTTCCTTTGGATCAGGAGCTGCAGTGTTGCTCAAATGCTTCTCAAATGCTACTCAAATCTGCTCAAATGCTGCTCAAATGCTACTCAAATACTCCAAAACACATGCTAATTTGAAGATTTTGGACTCAGATGCTACTCAAAATACTCCAAAACACATCCTAATTTGAAGGTGTTGCCCACATTCCACGAAAAACCTTTAAATTAGGGGTCCCAGGGTATACCAACCCCCACTCAATCATAGGATCCAGTCATGGGTTCCCAATGTTTACCCCCCAATCAATCTGCAGTTTTACTGCTTTTAAGCGCTTAACTGTTGGGGGACCCCTGTTGGGGGCTTATGACCGGGACCCCATGATAAAAGGTGATCACTTCTTAGCACCTTGACTTAAAATGAGTACCAAAACTGGAAAACCGAAAGGTCAGATCACGTTTGCGCAACTGAGAAAAAACGATACATTCTGATTCTGATTCGCCTTTCAGAGCAAGACATGATTTTGGGGGAGACTCATACTGTGGATGGACGAAATCCTGCATCACCTGAGAGACCATAGAATGATTCGATTCCCCTATAAATACCAACAAACAGCGGCCTCAACCATGGCTTTAAAGCGGTGCGGTCTCGGATTTCGTCCATCCACAGTACGAATCCCCGCAAACATCTCCCCTATTGTCTCTTGGGCGTTCGCTGAACATAGGTGTCCTTTTCGGGCAAATAGATGGGTTTCCCTGGTAGATGATTGAACCACCAGGCAAACCAGGAATCGCCATCTATTCTTCTACCAAAACAACCGAAAAGGACACCTATGATGTCTCCTCGTCTGAATCTTCGGGCATCGAGCCTGCGACCAGCGGGAGGTGGTGCGCATGGTGATACTCCAAACCTCCAGGCGCCTCAGAAACAAAAAAAAATCGGTCGATGGCCACAGACACATGGCCATGGGTCAAAACTTCGGTTATCCCCAGTGAACATCCGATTCAATCCAACCACTAAAATAGGAAGCCTGAAATGGGTGGTGAATTCACCTATCCCAAAATGGTACCATTGGTTTTGACCCACAGACACATGGATTTCTGAACTGGGCGGTATTGTCAGGTCCCCACACCAATCCAAACCAAATTCCTTTCAAACCAACATGGGGCACATAATAATAAAAATAATTATAATAATACTAATAATAATAACATATGGCTGTGGTGGTCAAAACCTTTTTGGGAGCCCATTTTGGGGGATTGGTGCACCACCCATTTTAGGCTTCCTATTTTAGTGGTTGGATTGGGATGTTCACTGGGCTTTTGACCCATGGCCATTTCTGAGCTGGGCTGTTGTCAGGTCCCCTGCTAAAGGCTTAACTGTTGGCGGGTGAAATGGCTGTGGGTCAAGCATGTGCACCAAACAGGGATCCTTACATTATACACCTGAACATTGCAACTTGTAGATGGTGTTGTTTCCAACTTGATTTTGGTGTTGAAAAAGCAACATGTTTCAAATGGTTGCAACACGTATCTTTTAAGGAGCCCTGCCACAATTACCCTTTGGCAAATGGAACCCAAGACTCAAAGCCGCGGTTGGCCCAAGCTCTTTAGTTTTGAGCCACACCCAAATAGAAGTCCCCCAAAAAACTAAACAGCTATGGGGATGCCTAGGAAGCACCAAGGCAAACCCCGGACTGATGCAAACCCAGTTGCCCTTGTTTTCACGGTGGTTTACGGTGATGGTCATCGTATAGTGGAAGTGTTTCCTTTTAGTGGTGTTACGTTGGTAATGTTACGACACCCCGGGGTTTTCATATGACACGTGGTTGATATAAAGGGGGGATCCCCTAGTGGGGAGTCATGGATGTGGCAACCAAAAAACCGGAATTCCAAAATGGGTTGCCCTGGTAAGTGGAAACATTGACCAAAACCTGCGGTTTGCCCCTCCGATCGTTTAATTTTGAGCCACATCCTCATCACTGCTGGAGGGCAACACCCCTCGGGCGGGTTCATCAACCCGGACCAATGTAATCCAACAGAAAAGTCAGAGGAAACCGCCAAGGGTAGAAGGTTGTTCCCTGACAAACAGAAAAACCCACCTGTCAGAAGTTGCAAAAAAGATTGCGACCCAAAGCCGACCCAAAAACCAACTTGGTTAGCACTTGCCTTTCTCAGTCACAGCCACCTAGAAAGGTTGGTCAAAGCTACGTTCGATGCAGCCAGAACGAGAAGGTACAAGCCTCACATACGCTCACATACGGTGTGGGCAATCCTACTTCCTCAAGCGGCCACTCAGCAAAGCATGGCATGACCAAAATAGGCGGGTGGCTCCTGTGCACCAGTCTCGTTGCAAATGCGCCTCAAGCTGCCAGAGCACTCTCTGGCAGCACATCA